AAAAAAAAAAAAAAAAAATCACCATATGACCCAGTAATTCCATTTCTTGGCGTATACTCAAAAGAATTCAAAGCAGGGACTCAAACAGGTATTTGTATGCCCATGTTTATAGCAGCATTATTCACAATCAGCAAACAATGGGTGTAACCCAAGTGTCCATCAGTGGATGAATGGATAAACAACATGCGGCATATAAATACAATGGAATACTATTTAGCTTTAAAAAGGAATGAAATTCTAGCACATGGAAACTTTGAGGACATGATGCCAAGTAAAGTAAGTCAATCACATATTGTATGATTTCACTTATATGAGGTATCTAGAGTAATAAAAAGATATTATGTGCTTAGAAAGTAGAATGGTAGTTTCCAGGAGCTGGAGGAGAGGAGGGATGGGGAGTTATTTTTCAATGGGTACAATTTTAGTTTAAAACTAAATTACACTGTAATAGTGCATAAAAGTACCCTCAGTTTATCACTGTTAGAATTCACTAACATTCCTTCCCGCCCCGCTTTCCTGCTTCTATTTTTTTAATGAAAGAACAAAAAATGATGCCTCTTCAGGGAAGAATATTATTTCTATTTGCCTTTTCTGTGAGAAGACGTCAATTTCTAACACTGGCCATTACAGTGAAAAACTGAGATGCACATGACTGCTGTAGATGTAGCATGAACTGCACCTGCACAGTTTAAAGTACATAGTATTATACTTAGGGCAAACACACTTTATTATTTACATGTTCCACAAGACAAAATAAATCTATTGTGAAACCACGCCAAAGTTAAAAATACCGGATTTTAGATGCTTCAGAACCAAATGCATTATTTAATGCAAAAAAAAAACTCCACATACACAACTTTTAAAATTTATATATTAAAAAAGCCCAAAGAAACAAGTAACATTTATAAAGTGGCTAAGTGTTATTTCTTATGTAATTGTAGAAGAAATTAGTATCTGAATTGCCCAACTGCTCACTGGTAAAATATGATGAGAATACATCATCCATCTCTGGAACCAAGACATTCTTCAATCTACTGCTTAACTCTCACTTCTGTGGCTTTGAACATACTGCTCCCTCTGCCTAGAATACCCTCGCCAGGCTCCCCGCCACCCCCCCCCCCC